AAATTTTATAAATTTTTTTTCCAATTATTTTGAAAAATATTTTTTTAATAAATTTGCATTTCACAACATATTTCTTTCGTCTTACCTACTTAATGACTATGAATGACAATAAGAACTGTGAATAAATTGTAATTCTCACATTGTTCTGACATGTATTGTTTAAGAATATATATTTGTGTCATTGTCGTTGGTATTAAATGCACTTTAAATATAATAAAATACAATATGAGATAGTTTTTTTCTGTTGTTGTGGCGACAGTTAATAAATAAGTGCCGTTGCAAAAAAAAAACGCTTAAATAGATTTAAGAACTTTTGAACCTTAATTTTCTAAGTGCATTTGAGAATATCTCTTGTTTTGATGACGTCACAATGTGTGACGAATGTTGTTAAGCTCTTGACTACTGGCAGCTAAGTATCAGCCTTGAAGCTCTTGGGCAATTTCTTTTCTTTTGGAGGATGGTGTCATGTGTAGAAGCTCACGCGAGTGAGGAAAGTACTCTGAGCACTTGGGAGTGGCCAGAAATGATTCTTTTATACAGGGCTCAAGTAGCACACGACTTCCATTCGTAGACCAAGTATCCTCTTGGTAGCCAAAGAACATCCATTTAAAGGCGAGCTAAAGTGAGAAGGCGAACGATTCGAAATATTCTGCATTAAGATCTATACACTTCTGCAGGCGAAAATGTGAAAAAAACTTTTGGCACTCAGATTGAGGTATCTCCAAAACATGTGTTCTGAACTCATCCATCGCCTATTTCAGCATCGAAAAACTTTCAATTCGGCTCATCTTAGAACACCCATACAGTAGACCGCAGTTGACTGTCGGGTTCGAACGTTTAACTCTACAATTCATCATATGTCACAATGTCATAGACGCACTGCTGTCCTTTTTTTTTTTTTTTACATTTCTCTCCATCAGTCAGCATGAGCCTTCTTTCGTGCAATTGACATATTGTGTGCGATCCAATGATGTTTTTAAAATCAATCTGTCATACAATATTGAATTTATGCTGATCCTACTAATGCCTATAGTTGTCTCAAAGATCCAAGGACGATCTTGCAATGTCAGTTTGCGCATAAAAATAATAGTTTATGAAATATCAAGTGATTTTCAACGAACTTCACGAAATTCGTATTGCAAGTCCTATATCTCGATTGAATTCACCGATAAATACTGGATACAAAAATTGCCAAAATCCGAAATATGGAAGACAACCTACGTATTTACTTGATACGAAAAACGATAACATTTTCGAAAAGAATAATATCCCAAAATAATTATTTCAAAACTACACCACCCTTCTAACAAAGCGTATAAAAAAGTTTATGCACGAATTGCAAATGAATCACAAAGGAATTCGTATGTCTATTAAATGTGTGACACATACTTAAAGTGACATAAAACACTTGTTCATACAAAATTATTTCTAGTCCTAAGAATTATTGTTAGGTGAATACTACCTGTTAATATTTATTTATTTATTTTTAATTCTAATAAATACGCCTTTTATCATCCAACCTCCCGTATTCACCAATTGCCAAAAAATTATTTTTAATATTTTCTGATGCAATATGTCAATATAGTGTCGTTATCCAACCGAATAGAAACAATTCAGTAATGGTAATCTCGGGACTGGTTGAGGAATACTAAGTCTTAAGGAATTGCAAATCGGTTGAGTTTTCAACAAACTGCCAGGATTAGTGTGAGGTCGGCAATCGCTGCGATAACAAGGCAGTGATACTGACCGTAAGTTCAAGGATCGTGATCTCTAGACTAAATCAGTAATGCCTAGAATTGCAAGTCTGCTCAGTTTACGAGAAGCGATTAGGACTATTGCAAGCTTTTAGTTAGATCGTCAACACATCCACGGTTTACTTATTTCAATCACTTCGGGCGCTATCTAAGTCATAAGAAGGTATAATGAGATCTTTAACCTTTAGCAAATTACGACCTCCTTAGTTGTAAGATCTTTAAATAAACACTGTAAATTGTGATAAGTAGACAATATTCGGTAAATGCCTGTATAAAATTGCCGATGTTTTTAGGGTGAGGTTGAAACATCTCGGCACTTCTTTCTTTGTTGATCCGCTTTTGCAAAACAAAGATTGAAACACCTTGAAACTCATAGCTTTGGCCTTCAGACGAACTAATTTGACTCGAAATTTTTCCGCGCCAGCATATTTGAAATGGGCTTAGAGCTCTAAATTGATAAACGAGTAATTGCATTCAACTTTACGAAAATGGCATCACAAAGTACTTTATAGGTGTCACTTTTGCCTCTAGGTGCAGAGTAGCTTATTTGGTCAAAAGTGTAGGTATTTAAGGTTTGTTCAAGGACTGTTCTTTAATTATTATATATCAGGATTTATAGAGTAATAAGTTCAGTCATAAAAACTTAAAAAAAAAAAGTTTAGATTTTTTTCAAGCAAAAAATAACAGGTGTGTCGGAGAAAATGTGTTGACTGAACACCAGTGCTAAAATTTCGATCATGAGGTTGCACCACGTCCTGAAAGACTTGCTGAAATCGTTGTAGATAAAATAAAACCGTCAAATAAAAACTTGAGATATTGCTAAACAATTCAATTTGCCTGACGCAACCGGTCAGGACATTATTCTATATATTAGGAGATGATAAGCATCCAGCAGTTTCAGATATAGCTGAATTATATGGGGTAGTCGGAAATAGTATTTTTTTATCTTCAAATTTATTTTTGGTCGACCACAATTTGCCATTTTTCCGCTAGAGACATTACTTTTCTAGAGAAAACTGCGACAAGTAATCACTCTATTAAGATAGCTCTGCATTGACCGAAACAAATGGTAGTCCGATAGTGCAAAGTCAAGGCTACATGGTGGATGCATTAAACTTCCGAACTCTCCCAGTTTTTGCCGAGTCATCAAAGTTGTGTGTTGGTTAGCGTTGTCCTAATGGAAGACGAAGTCCTTTCTGTTGATCAGTTCTAACCGTTGTAACGAAGCTTTTTGCTGCCCCTGCTTCTTACAAGTATAAATTGCTGAGGATTACTCGCCGTGTCCAGGGTTTGTTACAATAAATTTGTAAATACTGGGTCTTGTCTGCGAATCGTACTTTATTTTATTCTATAATCTAATTTTAATTTAAGTTACAAAATCGTTTCCCGCGTTGTAATGTCTTCGCCCGAGGAAAGTGCTGTCAGGGTAACGGTTCAGTGTGGCCCGTTAGGGCAATACCGTTTTCCACTCTGCTACGCTTCTGGGGTCTAGACGACTTGCTGCTCTGTACCACGACAATCACGTTCGGCTAGACGCGATGTTAAAGGTTGAGTTGGTAAGAGGATAAATTCACTACCAAGTTCCCCTTAACAGATGGCATTTACAGGTCAGAGTACCAAGACTAGCTAGAGGATAAACTCACTGCGTAGTCTGATGATGGACGTGTATGCGCTGGCACAGTACCGTGCTGACTGCCTGATCATCGGTCATCTAACTCCCCACCAAGCCTGTGCTGCGTGCTAACACATTCGCAACATGTTGCGTTGGGATGGCGTGTGTTGCTGGGATGGCGTATGTTGCTGGCAGTGGCGTGGTTTTACCGCTACGTATGCATGCTGCTTGTCTGATTTCTCCGTCTCCGTGGTTATGCCGTTGTATTGCTTGCGTGGCGTGTTTTTACTGCATTCGTGTTGTTTCAGCTTCTTGTGTTTCTAGAAGTGGCGTGGTTTTCCCGTTGTGTTGTGAACAATAGGGTGGGCCTTTATGGGTTGTGTGGACTAAATTCTGCATAGATATTTAGTTCTCACACCGTTGTTTTTTTTCAATTGCTTGTTGACTTAAAATGTATAATCAATCGATCGTAGAAACAGCGGATATTATTATCGTATTTGATGCACTTTTCGTCTCCTGTTACCACTCGCTTCAGAAATGGTTCGATTTCATTTCGTTTCAGCGAAGTATCCCAGAGACAACTCATATGGTGCCCAAACATTAGCTTGTTTTTGTAGTCAGCCTTTTTTAAATGGTTCAAGACCGTTTGATGATGAATATTAAGTTTCTTAACGATGTCATGGCTTCTTATGTGACGGTCCTGGTCAATCTTTTCCATATTTGCATAGACTTTTTCAACAATTTGTCTACCAGAGCGAGGTGCATCTTTCACATCGAAATTTCCAGAACGGAAGCGAGCGAGCCATTGTTGTGCTACACGAACTGATACAGTATCGTCTCCTTAAACTTCCCAAGTTTCGTTGGTAAAATACGAAAGGACTTTTTCGACTACCCCATACATGAATGCGACAGGGTATTGGAATCGAGCCCGTTCACTAGTTTTATTTACATTGACAGGCACCAAAGTGAAACAGTTTTATACAAATATAAATAAAAATATTTACTTAAAATTCTCTTAGTAAAAACCACTATTAGTATTTTCCATGAGTCAAAGCAACAATATGAATACACATTACATTGTTTGTTCTTTCTGGTTTCCTTTGCTAAAAAAATAGAATTTTGTTATGAAAAACATAACATAGAACTAACTGACGTAAATAAGCAAATATTCTAAAAACTTGTTTATGGTTTTCTAACAATTTTCGTATAAAAGTATTCAAAGTCCATGACTTTTATCAAAAGCTCGTCGACTTTCAAAGAGGAAATACAAATTCTAAACATAAAACTTCAACGAGAATGAGAACACAAGCAGCAACAGCCTTGTACACACTTCTAGTTCTAGCCTGCCTAGGTATGTAACAGAAAATAAAAAACAAAATTTTAGGTAAAACCTCATATCCTCCAACTTACTCCACAGGAAGCACATTATGTGGCGTCATAACGGAAATTGGCAAACCGCCTCAGCAGGCTGACAACGCTGTCAATGATTTGGGTAGCAAAATACCCAAGGTCGCAAATATAGAACCCTCCCCCAATAGCGTTAATACTGTTAAAGATACCGCCGAAGAAGTCGGTGGTACAATACCCGATCTAAATCCTATTGAGAACATCATCAGTCCAATTCCGGAATTGGATTTCTTTCATTGGTTAATTTCCATGCTCAGCAAATCGGTGTCATCAGTAAACCCCAACCACTCTGAAGAGCACGAGGAAGATGAAGTGTCAGCTACAGAGGAGCCGGCCGATAATTCCTCTGAAATACCAAGTGATTCCGACGCCGATGAGCAGGCATCAGAGGAAGAGGACTATAATTCCTCAGAAATACCAAGTGATTCCGACGCCGAT